TATTAATTTCTTAATATTTTATTATTATTTTTTTAAAATTTATACTTAGTCAAATTATATTTGCTTTGAAATAAAACAGAGTTTTGTAAACATTGGGCTTGCTTTAATACTACTCGTATTTACGATAGAAAACTTATATTAAATATTTACCGTAAACAGCTATGTTATGAAATTGTAAAAAGATTTTTATAAATATAAATTTACGTCTGGAATTTAAATATTAAATTTAGTTTATTAATAAATGAAAGAAGGAAAAAAAACTAAAAAAGCAGAAGAAACTTCTGAAAGAAATGAAGACTTATTAATTACGAAATGATAAAAATCAACTTATCGAAAAGGAGTTTGTGATAATTTTTTTTTTGTAATTCGCCGATGTTATAAAATATTAAGGAGAAGAAACACGTTTTAATACTAGAAAATCGCATCAACAAACAGGAGAACATCTATCAAAGAAGACATTAATTTTAATGCGATATGTTACAATTTTTACCCATGGCAAAAGTAAAAATTTCCTCCAAAACAGTATCAACTCATCTCTTTTTTTTTTTATAAAAAAAACATTGTAAATTATAAATGAACAACTAGAAATATTATTGTATATATATAAAAAATAAATAAACAGCACTTTTTTTTGACAGCAGTGATTTTTCTATATTCCACGTTAATTTAATTATGTAAAATTCGTCGATGGAATAATTTTTCTTTTTTTTTTTTAATTGTTCTTTTAAACAATATTTATTCGTACCTGCTTTCAATTATATCGAAACTTTTTATGAAATAATAAATGCGTTTTCGTGACAATGAATAAATAAAATACTAGTGTAACATTTTTGTTTTCATTTTTTTTTTAATGGTCATCATCAATTTGCTTTCTTTTTTTTTCCTATTTTAGTTCCTTCGAGAATTAAGTTGTTTACAAAAATTTTACAAAAGTGCAAATGCTCATAATTAGATTTTCAATTTTATATCTAGTCGTATTCTTCCTTCTTTTATTAACATCAGTTTTATTTATTTTTTTTTTTGTTTTGTTCTTTACTCATAATCAGAAAATATTTTACCTAAATCAGAATTCTGAATATATAAATAAATATAGTGTAATTTAATATATAATTAAATAGACTACTTTAGTATTACAAACAAAAAAAGAAAAAATATATGAAAACAACTTTAATTAATGTTCCAATTATAGAAATAAAGTATTATTCTATAATAAACAACTTAATTAGGTTTTTTTAACAAGCCAACTACTTCAGGTAATTTATTTCTATTTAGTATTGTAATTTTTCTTTTAAATTTATCTCCATTTCTTAATCCTTTATAATGATGTAAATACAGGATACGAAAGCCCCAGCATACGAAATTTTCAGGATACGACGTTAAATTCGAACATATTTTTGCTCCACGATACGAACAAAAACTCACCATACGACTTACATTAGTTCGCAGCGCCATTTTTTATTCACTTCTGTTCATCGGTCTCAGTCCACGTGTTTGCTTCGTCGTGCATGGATCTCGCTCGATAAACGAAATCTTGAGGTATTATCAGAAAGTGACTGATTTTATTGAAAAGAAACATCCCGAAAAGGTTCACACTGGCCGTATTGCTGCTCAGAGTAATGACATTTACCTGAGTCATTTTAGAAACATTTTAAAAATTAAGCAAAGCCAAAACCTCTTTGGACAGATACAGTATTTTACCAAGCGACCTCTATTTATTGAAAGTGCTGGTGGAAATGAAGGAAAGAAATCAAAAAAGCAGTGAATAAAAAATTAACAAAAATATGTAACAGAAAAAATTAAAAAATTAGTGTTAAGTCATTTTTAAGTTATTGTTACATTACGTTACGTAAGTTAAGTATCATTTCGCTTCTCCCTCTCTTCTGCCACCAGTTTACATCTCCACTGTCGTCTATCCTCAAAGATAAAGTGCAAATAAAACTACATTTTTTAAAATCAATTATTATTCTATTATGGTTATTTATACATTTACAACTACAAAACGCATTTTTCACTGTTTCCCTTACTATAGTTATTTTTTTAATGTAGAACTTAGCTTTAATTTTAGTGTGTTTTTCGTGTTGGAACGAATTATTTGGTTTTACATGTAATCGTATGGGAAAAAATGATTCAGCTAACGACATTTTCATGATACGATCTCAGTTTCGAAACGGATTAATTTCGTATCCTGAGGTACCACTGTAATATTTTTGTCAAATATTTTATTATGTTAAAATAATAAAGATTCGAAGTTTTATATTAGTATAAATAGAAAGATTTAACTACCCCTATTTAAAACTATTTAGAGAGATATTTAGCACTTAAAATGCAACCAAATTTGGTACTGTCGACATTGTATACAATCAAAATGCAGTTTTATTTATTGGGAGATTTTAAATGTGGTTTATCGAGGACATATTGCAAATTTGGCAGCCTTAAGAGAATATCATACTGCATACGAGAAGCATTACAGAGGATTAATTACGTTCGACCTGACCATTGAACATATCCCGTTCATCGCCTTCAGTTTCTACATTTTCAGAATGGAGACTAAATTAAAGTATATTTCCTGTACAGCTAAGGTTTCTATACAAATATTTATTGTATATTTTATATGAGTAAAAAAAAATATATTTGCTGTTCACGGCGCTAAAAATGCCATAGTGACGAGTTTTGTTTTATATTTTTTTTATAGTTGCATACAGTGTTAAATGAGGATACTTTAATTACGATTACCCGGTACACGTGATGACTAATTTTTTATATGACCCTTATTACTGTATATGAGATTTAACGTGAAATCCTATCCATAAAAATAAGATGTAATGGCGAATATTTTTGCTTTCAACTCTGACTTTAGAAAAGTTTCTCTGAATGGATTTGAACAAAATTTAAATTGTGATACATTTCTATTGTATGTGACATGTGTTCTTGTAGTACATATATGTATCATATATCTGTATGATAAATGTAACGATCCTTTATCAAAATGATAACACGTTCTTTTTACTAAAGTGAAACAAATTGATAGTCTTCTCAGTTTTCTACTTTTTATAAATTTAAATTGAAGATTTCGAGTTTAATTACTTAAATTTAGAAAAAAAATAAGATAAATTATATAATATATTTATTTTTTTAAATATTTATTTACAGCAGGGACATATTTTTCTCGCTTTAAACAATGTTAAAATACCTTTTTTTTTTTAATTAAATAAAATATATCGAAAATAGAAAGTAAAATAAAAATATATGACTCTCAAATAGTTAAATTTTATGGATAATTGCATACATAATAATAATAATAATAATAATAATAATAAAAACTTAACGAGCTTTAACATTGCGTGAAAAAAAAGAAACGATATTTTTATTATCATCATTATTTTTATTTATAAACTTTAAATTTGTTTATTTGTTTTTTTTTTCAATTGTGCAACATTTTAATTAAATAATTTAATCTTTCTATCGACGATTTTTTGATGTTTAATGACTCATTCTATTATTTTTATTATAGTGATTCCTTTACTTTTGTCATGATAATAAATTCAGTTTTATTGTATTATCAAGAGTCTTGAAATATCATCTTAAAATAATTGTTTACGATTTTTATAAATGGTTGTTAAGCCTTAAGAGATCTGATTTTATTGTACTCAATATTGCTTCTATTTGATTTTTCATAGTTAAATTGAACGATAAAGAAATATATTGACGTAGCACGATTTTAACCAATTTTCTTCTATCATTAACTCTTTTCCAATTTATAGGATACAAATAGGGACTTGTCTGCAGCAAAGAAAGATAAAATCCGCCCCAGAGAAGAATCGAATCGGAATCCTCCTAAAGGCAATCTATTGACATGCTACCCTGCTATGACCAATGCTATGTTTAATGCAAGCCACTAGTTTTAAACTTTTAAAAACTTTTCATGATAAGCTAAATAAACAATATCAATTTTTAAATTGCCTTAGCAAATCCTACTATAATCTGATTATTTATTTTTAACAAAAGAGTTTATCTTAAAAAAAAAAAAAAAGAGAAAATCTATCTACTTTCTTATGTTTATCTATTTGTAAAATATATACTATAAAAGAGAAGAAATTGACGTCTTTGATATTGCAATATATTTAAATTTTATAATCTCTAAAATTTATTGTAGTCTATTGTATTGTTTAACGTCGTATTCCATCTAAATTCAGTTGAGGAAAGTATCGTTTTGCTTAGATTTTCAATGGTAAAAATTAATTATAAATTGTAAATAATGATTTGTGAATTAAATATATATATATATAGCCTATATATAACTATCGATTTTTATAATTGTAAAGGTAATTTCGACTAGACTAGTACATCTTAATTATGCTGTAATACAGAGATGCTCTTAGATTTCTAAATTTGTCATTGCATTATATATTAAATTCATTCGGAGATGAAGTGTAATTGTTTAGAGAAATGAAGAAATGGCTACATTTTCTTATAATGTATTAGAAAATTCTTAAAAAAAACAACTTTACATAAGCTATAATATTTTTTATGGCATTGAATACTAAGATTCGAATTGATGGGGTGAGATATCATCCATCCCACTAATTTAATCGAAACCCGGTTAATGGCTACCGTACATTGTAGAGCATTAACACAAAAAAATATATAATCTAATGGAATTCCTCACAATTCATTGCTCCATTACATTTTTATAAAGTTATGTAAATATGAATTATTCTAACATTTATCATTATTATTGATTATTAAAGATTTCCGTTTATATTCATTTGTAATTCAATGTGAATTCGATTTTTATTTGTAATTTATTTTTCATATTATCAAATATAATACATACATTTTCTTCACTTATAACTTTTTGTATTATCTATTGTCTATCTGTCCGTAAAAAAAAAATCTCCTACCTTTAAATGAAGTTAAGAATGAAATTTTAAAGTATAATTTTAACTCTCAGTAAATTTCACATGTAATTTTATTTCTTTAAATTTTTACATTGGATTAACTCAGAATACCAGATGTCATTTTGATTTTAATTTATCATAACTTCGGTTAAATCATGCGATGTTGAATATCTTTCACTGTAAAGAAAAAATATATATATTATTATGACTGGATTTAAACACAATGTGTGAATAATACATTATATAAAGTAATTAAACTGAACTTTTACAATTCTTTAAATTGTTTTTTTGTTGTTGTTGTTGTTGTTATTTTGGATAGACATACAGACACGCTTTTATTTTACAAAAGTTTTATATTTATTTAATTTTAATTGCGTTATTATTATAATATTCTATTATTATTTTATTTTATAAATAATAATAAAAATCGAATTTAGTAAGATAGAGTAAAAAGAAGATACATTAAAATGCATAAATATTGATGAAGGAATTTGATATTACTTTCTCAATTTACTGTAAATAAAAAATAATATAGTTGAAATGTTATACTTATTAAACGTTAATAAAAGTTAAGGTTATTATATCATCATCAAAAAAAAAAAGTTATAATTTTTACGTTAACATTTAAAGTAACATTTTCCATTTTATCGAAAATTTATGTAAATTTTTTTGATTTATTTTTATTATTTTTTTTTAAAAATTTACATACGAAAATGGATAGGGGGAGGAAAAATTACAAATTGAATAAAATCATAATTTAGAAAGAATTTTAATATAAAATTTTAAAGTATCAAAAGTAAACCGATCAATATATATTATAACGATTTTAAAACCAAAGAAAAAAAAAGTTCTTTGAATTTTTTTTTTAAAATTAATTTATATGTTTTACACTATGGCAAACGTCTTAAAAAGTCACTATGATTACGAATAAGTTAAATTTCTCATATTTTCTCAAGTTTAAAATGATAAAAGCATTATAAAGTTTAAAATTATATACATAAATATGTAACGAGACAAATTTGTTTTTTTTGTATATGTTATTTGATGTAAGCAAATCCCGAATTTTATTTTAAACATTCCATCACGTTTTACAAAATGTAAACCTAAAAGATTATACTCACAACATTTATCATCCATATATTTGCAATGATTCTTATACATGGAATATATTCAAGTACCTATTGTCCGGAACCATTATTTGACACCTCGTCATATGCAACCATATACACTTCTAAAGGACACAATGCAAAACAGACTCTATAACAAAGAAAGAAGGAAATTCTAGTAGAAAAGAAAACACAATTTTCTTCCATAGGTGTCCGAAATAGAATAAAAGAGGTTGAAATGTGTTGTATTTGTCGTCTCTACTAGACGTCTAGTCGCTCACTCTCACCAATGGAACTACTGAATCTTTCAACAGGGTTAGACACTAACACATGGTAGAAGGAATATTGAAGTCAGCTACTTTGATATGGAAGAATAAAAAAAAAAAAGAGAGAACACTCACTCACCCTTCTGTTTGAACGGTTTAAGACCTCTTTAAATTATATTGTTTTTTGTTACTGAAGTTTTTAGAAAGAACAGTCATTATTGAGATTTGTTCCTTCTTTATTCTATAAAAGGGTCTTTTTATAATACAGTACTCTCTCTACCTTATATAAAATAAAATATAAATGTGCGTGAAGGTATTACAAAAATCGAAGCATTTAACAAATTTGTCTCTAGTTTTCAATCTTCTTCTTCTTCTAGTTTTCTTTTCCTTCCTTCTTACTTTATTGCCTTCAGATATTTTTACTTTTAAATGAGATTTTGTCACATTGATGTCGTGCCTTCGAGTTGAATTAAGTAAAATTTACGGCTTATTTTTATTTAGCTTATTAAGTTTCTTTTATTTATTTTTTTTCACGTTTAATATTTAATTTAGTTGAAGTGCGATAAAAAAAAAATTGAACTTTTGAAAATATTATTTCATCACGTGACAATTTTTTCTTATTTTAAGGAGGGGGCGAAATTTCTGAAAATTTGTTCTGCAATGGAAAAACTTTCGTATTAGCTTATGTATATAGGTTATTGTAAAAAAAAAAAAACAGGAAAATCTTTGCATTTCCTTTTATTTAATCTCGTATCGCATGCAAATTTTGCATTACTCTTTTAGTACAAAACGTCGTGGGTGATCTATTTTGCATGAAGAGATTTGTTCTCTGAGAATTATATCAAAGAAAAGCATTAGTTGTGATGTTCTTATAAATTGACTTTGTAATTCAAAAATATAAAACGTTTTTCTTTATATATGTAAAAAAAAAGTTACTTTCAAATATTTCAATATAAATGTTAACAAATCTTAAAAAAAAAAACGAAACAATGAATCAAATTAAATTATGTAATTTGCATGTAGTAAATATACACAAGAGACTATAAATTAAGAATTGTTAGCATTTTAACCGCTTAAAGTAATTTTTTATTTCATAAAAAAAAGAAAAAAAGATTTTAATTAATTACAAAAATAAATAGAATTTATTTAATATTTCTTTTCTAATTATTTATAAAAATTATTTTGTAATCTTTACTTTTTTTTAATCAGTATTAATAAATTATTTTAGTTATTTTAATTTAATTTCAGTATCACTTTACAAAATATTTGTTTAAGAAACTTAAAAGATAATTTTTAATTAAATAATAGAAATAAAAAAACGATTATTATTATTATTATTAAAGATCAGGGAATTAAAATATGTTTTAGTTAATGCCAACCTGGAATGCGATAAGTTTNTATTATTTATTTTTTTATAATAAAGTTATTAATGTATATATTCCGTTTTTGTATGTTTTCTTTATCTTTTTCTTAGTTTTTTTCTCTGCACTTTTCAAATTTTTCATAAAGGAAAAGTTTTTCCTTAAAACTATAAGAAAATATTTAGCTTCTTAGATTAAGCATTTAGTTAGCCAAATCTTTCCATTGTCATATGTAGCTAGAACAAGACAAGTAGACGTAAGAAAAAAAAAACTTCTTCTAAAATCTCTGTCTTTATAAGTTGCCTAAACAAACAAAATAAGAACTGTCAGTATTGTTATCTTTCTATGTTCATTGTTGATCTAAGAGCTTATGGGCACATGTACAGGTTGTGTAACACAGACAGGAAAGAAGACATCTGGCGACAACTCCGTATCCGTCTTATGCAATTTTTTTTTTTCATTAAAAATATTTTCTTTCATGCTGTTGTTGTCAAGTTTACACAACAATAAGTCTGCACCATTCACCCTGTTGCACTTCCTCCACTAAACAACATCAATTCAACTATGTAAAAAGCACTTCTGATAATCGCTTTATTTTTCTTTTCCTTGTTTGTTAATGTTAGCTTTGTTTTTTCGGTTATTTTCTATATAAAAATCGTAAAATTTATATAATAAATGATGTTTCTTTTCCTTAAAAAAAAAGCTTGTAAACGAGCATCCATTAGTTTATTGTTTTGTTAGAATAGGATTTATTACTTTTCTATTCAACTTTCTTTCTGTGTATTCAATACTAAAGAATATATATATATATTCTTTATTAAAAACAGTCATTTTAGCTGTTTTTATAATGTTTTGACTTGAGTTATTTTAAAATTTTAAATATTATTTCCTGTNAATGTGTGAATTTTTACACAATAATTAATTAAATTTTTATAAATTAAATTTTAAAATGATTTAATAAGTTCTAAAATAGGATTTTTAGATACAAAACCCGAAAATTCTAAAACAATTCCTTTAAAAATTGCTGGAGAAGACTGAGATAAAGATGAGATTAACCATAGAGGATATGTCAAAATTTTGTAAAAATTAGTTAATTATTTAGAAATTAAATCTTAAAACTAACTTTATAAAGTTGTAAAATAATTTTTAGATTAAAAAAACCTTAAATATTCTAAAAAAACTTTAAAAAACCCACAGAAACTTGGGATGAAGAAGAATGATGTTGGAACGAAGATGGAAACTTCTCTGATATTTTTAAGAAAAAAATGAAAATTTTTAGAGATTAATGGAGAAATTTTAATCCGAAAACACCATTTTTTCTAAAAAATACTCGATATTTAAATTATAATTCGAATTATTTTGAATTTAGACAAGGTTAAACGAACGACCTTTTGACAGATTAACAACAGAATATTGGACAGAAGCCAAAATATCTTTTGTAATTATTAGAAAAAGGAAAAACATAATCGATAAAACTTAATTTTTTTGAATAGAAAATAAATTAAATTATATTAGAATATCAAAAAAACCTCTCTCTATCCTCTCTCTCTCTCTTGCATCTTTATCCAGCATCATTGGAGTAATTAAAGGATGCTGATCTTCATGATATAAAATTGCAATTAAAATTAAATTAAATTGTAAAAATTGAAATTAAAATCTAAAAATTTTCAATTGTAGATAAATTTTTAACGCTTTTTTAATTAAATTTTCCTATAAATTTTAATATATTTGTATGAATTTATAGAGGAAGAAGATGATTGATGCGTAGCAAATTATTAAGATTTATTCAATTTTTGGTTATTATTACTGACTTTTTTGATTTTTATAGATTTTTTTTAGATAATTGGAAAGATTTCACGTTATAACATTTAAGAAAATTTACGAATTTTATATAGAAAAATTGGCATTTGGAAAAGTTATTACTACTTACTCAATGCTAAAAATAACAATAATGTATTATAAAATTACATTAGTACCCATTAGTGTCTAAGTAAACATCATGTAAAAAACATAATATTACGGTCCATTAGTGTCCATGATATATCAGAGAGACATATATTTTATATAGGACTCATGTATAATATATGCTTCCTTTACCAATAATATGATAAATTAATAATTTATATAATTTTTTAATGAATTTCTTGAAAATATATTAATTTATTTTAGTTTTTAATGATGTAAAAAATTAAATTATTTAAGATAATATTAGAGAATAACCTATACTAATGCTTTATTTAAATATTTCTTAATAACTTAAAATAATTTAACTTGTAAAAATAATCAGAAACATATTAATTACATTGAAAAAATAAAAATAATAATAATATTTTAAAGATGATAAATCAAAAATATATATAAGCTGTATTAAAAAGTTTTTAATCTGAAGGAAATAAATATTTGATAAATAAACAGAATAAAAGAAGAAATTGAAGCAATTTACCAAAAATATTTTTCTTTTCTCTTTTCAGTAAAGATAAGAAAATAAGGTGAAAAAATAAAGTCGTTTTCGGACGTTATTTGACAACTTTTTCTTCCTTTTCCACCTCCGAATTCTTTAGGTGCATTTACATCAAATATCCATTTCTCTTTCGTCCACCACTAAACTTTTCCTTTTTTTTTTTTTTTCTCCTCTATCCAAATGTTCTTCACTCGAGACACTGCGGTTAAAAATACGCTTTAGTTCTTTTCTACCAACATAAAAGCCGCTGTTTATTTTACGCAAATGTCTTTTTGTATTTTTGGAAAACACGCTGTTAATTCTTGAAGACGTCTTCAACTTGCTTCTAGCAAGAAAATCCCATAGAAACCACAACTTTTCTAACGAAATTTCGTTAGTTTTCTGTAAAATAACAATATATATTTTGTCACATTTTATACATCGAAGATTTTGTTATTCTACGGTAAATTTATTTTTCAGAATATTCTTTAGTAATACCGATTGGTGCATCATAACAGTTCAGTTTCTTCTACAAAATGCAGCTGTTGAATCGAAATCGTATCTTCCAGCAATATGTTAGAAATTCAAATCTATTTTGAATATAACTTCACTAAATGCTTATCGTTTTTTAAATATTTAAATAATGAATTTACAATAATTTAACTTTATAATTTTTTTAACATGTTATTTTAATTTTCATTTCATATATACAATACATTTGGGAATAACTTTGTTAAAGTAATTATTTTCATTGTTCTTAAGAATATATTAAAAACTAAACTTTTTTTTTCTTTAATCTTATTTTAATTTAAAATAAGTAATTAATTAATTTTCTTTCAGACTATTAATTAGTTGGATTATATTCATTTCTGTACAGAAACTCTACTATACCTTTAACCCACATTTTCATTATAAAATATATATATATATATATATATATATATATATTCATGTTTTTACAAATTCACATTCCAGAATGATTCATTCATTCTCATTGTAAGCCACCATCTTTAAAAGGAACAAGTTAACAAAGAAGCAAACAGCTCAAACATGTTATTGTCATTTGATTTTAATAAGCTAGGCTAGCATACTTCTCAATAACTAATAATTAATTTAATATTCTCATATACAATTCAGAATGTAACTCACACATTAAAAGTTGTAAATATAAACCAAACAAAATATCATGAAAATGGATAAAAATAAGATAGCACATTTAAAAACCTTATATATATGCAAAGTAAATATATATGTATATATTTACTTTGTACATTGTTTTAAAAATTCTTTAACATATTACATAATCTATTAATATCTTCATTTAAATACAAATTGATGAGATAAAATTTTTTGTGTGGTTANTATATATATATTTCTGTCCTCTTATTATTATATTCAGTTCAAATAAATTACAAGAGAAAATATTAAAAGAAATTTTTTTTATATTTTTGATATAAATCATTCAATCTTTTATTTAATTAATTATTTATTTTCGTTTAAGAAATCATGATATGGGTTTTTCGTCGGTTTGTAGAAATAAATAGAATTTCTGATATACAATCCTTATACTAAGATGTCACCGTTATGTAGGGAAAAATGACAAATGGATATCGGGAATAGAAACATGTAAGTTAGGTTTTAAAGAATACTAAAATAGCACCAACAAATCAATATTTAAATGTCAGGAATGTATGTAAATGGAATCTAAGATAGATTATCAATTTTTGTAAATCCTACTTCGTTTTTTATTTAGGTTAAATCCTATCTAATTCGTTCTTGAATTTTTTTTTGTTTTTAGAAAAATCTTTAAACAGTTTTTAAATGTTTTAAATATAAAATCGTATGTTTTAAAAAGTAATTTACATGATTATTAATATAAAATTTATTCTAAGTCGTTTAAATAATAATAATAAAAAAAATTTTTTTAAGAAATATTATCTATCGAGTGATGCTAATATTTGATAAAAGTACAAATTGCCGTCATTTAAAATTTTTTCTTAAAAAAAAAAAAATCTACAAATTTGTAATAAGCATTTCGTGATTCACGCTGCAAAGAAGCATAAAATGAGCTTTTCTGGAATCGTTTTCGGTTGATTTGTACAAATGATTACGCGGAAATCAAATTTTAAATATTTTTAAAATAAGTTNATCTAAAATATATATATATATATATATATATATATATATATATATTTATAAATTCTACATAATATTATAAAGTTAATAAATTAGAATGTTTTAAATAAATATTTCTCTCTTAATTCTCAAATTTGGAATATAGTTCTATAATAATATAAAAGATTTTATTTAGTATACAAAAAAAATCTATTAATCTTTATATAAAAATTATTTTAATGGATTTGTTTTTCTTCACTTTTAAGGAAAGAAAATTAACTTTTAAGCTTCTATTATTAATTGTGATACAAAAATAGTATAAATATCTGAGATATTTCTTTTGTAGAAACACATTTTTGTTGTAATTGAAGTAAATTTTTTTTTCTTGTCTGATCTTTTTTCTTCCTTTATCTACATTCTTTAGTTTGTTCACCAAATACTCATTCTATTAAGACTGGAAATGTTTGTCTTATCCTGAATAATGCTTAGAAGTGTTGATCTGTTGAACCTTGTTAAACTTGTACTTTTTTGTTTATTGTTGCAATAAAAAATTTGTTGTAAATTTTTTTTTTTTTTTCAATTTTGCTCCTACATCAAATCATAAAAAAATATTTAATAAGCTAAATATTAAAAAAAATAATAAATAAAATGCAAAGTTTAGTTGCAATAACATAATATATAGTAATGATAACACAATAATGTATTCTAAAATACTATTTATACTATCTTTACTTTTTTTTTTGAGAAAAGGAGCATCATTAATAATATAAAAAATTCGATTAAATTCTAATAATTTTTATTCATTTATTATTATTTTATAGTTTTTTAGAATTCAAAACCATTAGAAATATCCATCAGATTCAAAGAAAAATGTCTTTTTGCAACATTTAAACCTGTATTATAATCGTTAAGACATTTGCTTGCATATTTTTCATTTTAAACTTAACGATAACAGAAAAACAATTTTTAACATTGAAAATTACATATTGAAGACTAAAAATTGCTTTTTCTCCTCTCCCCCTCTTCAACATTCGCTTATAAGTTTGAAAAATATACAAATAAATGTAACGATCTTAATATAAATATTTTCTTTGTATTCTACTTCTTGATAATGTATTCTCTGAAAAAGCAAAACTTTACATTATGCTCTTTACTGATAGAATTTCTACATTTAACAATAATACAGTTTTCTATTTTACATTATTTAACTTTAACAAAATTTCAATAATTTACTGTAATTAAGATATTTTACTTTATAAGACACTAATTACCTTGAAATTACTTAGATGAGTCAATGAACATCGTGCACTTGTAACAGTTAAGTGGAACTGTTAAGGTAATAACGTTAGTGAACTCTTATATGTCATTAACAATTCCTTTACTAGGTAATCAAGATGTTCAATCATCTGTTAACAAAACTTTCACAACAACTTAAGTGCATTTTTTTTTACAGCTTTAAAAAATAATAAAATTATTGCTTTGAATTTCTTCTTAATTGAATGCTCGTATTTAAAATTAAAAAAAAAAATTAGAACACTTTGTATATTTACGTCATTTGTGAGTTTTATGTAGTTTTTAATTCCATAAAAATTTCAACTTTATTATTTTTATTTAATTATAGAGAAAGTTAGAAACTAATGTTAATTTTTTTTTGTAGAATTTAGTAGTGAATTAAGATTAAAATACTTCAAAATTATTATTATTATTATTTTTTAATATGCAAAGGAAGAAAAAAAGTTAAATATAAAGAAATAAATCATCATTTTAAATTAAGAAAAATTGAAAAAAAACATAAATAAATAAATCGATTTATTTTATTTTATTTTGAAGAATTCGTATTAAAACTCATTTATTATCAACAAAAACAGATTTTTTTTTGTTACTATTTAGTCCAATAACCGATAAAAATGATAATTCTTATCTATATTTACATTTTATTCTTTAGAAAATTTCACGGAAATTACAATTTCTTACCACATTAATACAATTTTAACAAGAAATTTGATATAGTAAGAAATTCCTTCTTATCTGCATTATTATTCATTGTTAAACTAACATATTCATCATTTCGAAAAGGGGAAAATCATGTAAAATTTGAGGGGGAAAAAAATCGAATTCCAACGATTAACTTTACCAGGTAGTTATTATATAACACCACAGGGGAAATATGTCAAGTCTGTTGTATTATCTCATCCCATCTTGCATCTAAAAGCTATTGTAGAAGATGAACAATAGAAGAATAATAATATTGATCGTCACAGACTCGACAATACTCGGGGTGTTTTGGAAACTCAATGCGTTTTTCTACTGAAACTCATTAACTTACTTCACCTAAGGTAGTGAAAAGATTTAAAAATATAGATTATATATATATATATATTTTAACTCTGTGAGGATATGACCAAATTTAGAAAATTTGAATGATGTATTTGGAATTTAATAGTTGATGCATGGAATTTTTATGAACAGAGCAACAGTATTAGAGATGAGGCGTATTTTCCTCCTTTCCTATTTGGAGAGAAAGAAAGAATTCCTCATCTAGTGCAGGAAGTTTTCATTTCTAATTTCTCGATCATGCTTAAATATTGAGTCAACTGTAGTTTTTAGAGTACAAGATGATCTTGTAAAATTGGTGAGTTCCAACAACCTTCAGGTTGTCAGCAATCAAAATCACTCTAAAGTAAGTCTTTTCCTTCCAAAGAAAAATCATATATATGTCAAACAGATAGTGTATTGTAGCCAGGAAAAAACTAAGCTGAGAAAGCTCATAGAGCTTGTAGTACCTGTCTCAGACCTGAATATATTAACAAATTAGATAACAGTACAACCTTTGTGGAAAATATCATTTTGGTGATATTACCTGGAGTAAAACTTCCTCATCAGTATTTGTGTCCCAACATCTACATTCTACCTGACTTCTGCTCAAAGTGCTATGTGTTGGACGCCTAGGTATCCTGGGTCTTGCTTTTAAAGCCAAACAGAAGGCAGGCCACAAGGCCTTTAATAAATAATAAAAAAAAAGACATCATCCTTTAATAATAGTTAACTGCATCCTCAGGATTGTAGAATTAAAAAAACACTGTTTCCATACTTAAAAAATACCGTATGACGGTTATATCAGTTTGCACGTCAGCTCTAATCCGTCATATACATATAGTGGGTGGGGTGTTTTTTTAATTTTTATTAGGGAAATTTCTTAAAAATATTCGAACTGAGATTGCTTGTAGAGTAGTTGTGTCATTACCAGATGGCGACTCGACTTGGGAGACGAACGGTTGTTTACTAGTAGCCAGGAATTAGTCTCAGGTGCACTTACTCCACGTCGTCTCCAAACCTGGCAGTCGAGTGGCGCACTGTAATACGCAGCTAACTCAGCTTGACACAACAATGAGTTTTGCCTTTCTCGCCTGCCTCTGTTCGCTCTACACAATATTTAGTTTAAGACTTCGGTTTTTAGTGTCA